CCACCCACCTGAGCTGCAGCGGGGTTAACGCCGCGCAAAGCGGTGCTCGACAGCACTATAACTGCCACTCCAGCGATATGAGTGACGTGTAGGAGTGACGCTCTCCACTATTTCAGATATGATCCAATTTTTGCATAACCACTTTGATTTTTGTTGTTGGTGATTGGTTTTTTGCAAATGGTGGTGATGATGAAGTGGTTGTGGTGGTGACGATTGTGATGAGGTGGTGTTGTCAATTTTGGTGAAATGGTGGTATTGTTGTTAGTGTTGGTGGTGGTAGTTGTAGCGGTGTTAGTGAGGAAATGGTGTGACGATGGTGGTGGTGGTGTTTGCGATAGTGGTGTTTTGATGATGTTGGTTGTGTTGGATTTAGGTTGGGGTGGGGTGAAAAGCATTTGTGAGCAACTGTAACCAAGTTTGCATTCATTATGACTGTTTATGACCATGTTAGTCTTAATTGTAATGGTATGTGATCAAGTATTTGGTTACATATAGTCACAATCAGTTACAATTAATACAGACTTGGTCACAACTAATCACGATTAACACATACTTAGTTACAGAGGGTCGTAGTTAACAGATAAAATGTCACTACCACCACCAAAATCACACCAATACCGCACCACCACCAACATCATTTAATCCATATGTTGCACTTCCAAAACACTTCCCATTTCTCAGCCCTCCAAACTAGATCCATCAATGCTATCCGTCAACCACCATATCTGCGCGCCTTATAGTGATGTTACATCGAGTGCAGTGGAGCCGCGCAAGGCATCGTGTGCAACGGTGCTGCGAGAGGCATCGATGAGTACAATTGTACGACGTCTCTGTGCGCCTTGCGTAGCACCGCTCTGTGCAATGCCTCGTAGTGGCGCTGCACGTCGAGATCGATAGAGGAAACACGAAGGACTTGACGATGCCGAAAATGAGGTAAGATGTTGGTCGGCGTTGGAGAAGAGAATAGAGATAATGGTACCGTGTGAGTTGGGATAATTTAGAGAGAGAGAGAGAGAGAGAAAGAGAGAGAAATGATTGAATATTGATGATTAATACGTATTAATTAATTTAATAAATTTGTATTATAATCTAATTTGTGAAATAAAAACTAGACGATCTTACTTTTTAATAGTACAACTTATACATAGGGTTTGGAGTAATTTTCTCTTGTAGTCGGTCTTAGGCTACCATTTGACAGCACCCAGTGACGTTACTAGTTAGTAGGGGTGGGCGCGGGTCGGTTCAGTTCGGTTCGGTTCGATTTTTTTCGGTTCCAGAAATTTTCGGCTATTTAGTAAATGGAGCCGTCGGTTCCAAATATAATTTTGGCACCGTTCGGGTTCGGTTCGATTC